TTACACAGGAGCCAGTCATAAATCATATGATAGCATGACCAAAGCTAAAAAAGTTTTTTACAATGCACCAGTTATGCCTGTTTATCAAAAGAATTTTTGTCAAATGAGAACTAACCCAGTTCCAACTAATATTCAGACATCTAGACCAGATGAATCTGAAATAAAAGATTTTTTCAACCCTGGTATATCTAGAGAAATTTATACAAAACTTAATGGAGTTTGGAAAACTCACATTGTAGACAACAAAGTGAAATTTCGAAAACACATGGGAGTTCTGGCCAACAAATTAGCGAAGCAAACAGCTAAATTAAAAGATTTGCAAAATCTTTGTTTCAATATCCTTAAACAAATGAATTGGAATGGATTTTAATTTTGAAAAAATAAACAATTTTCTTCAACTATCAGACCTCATATCAGATGAGTTTTCTAATTCAATTTTTGAACAAATAAAAAGAATTTGTCTTTTTGAAAAAGCAAAAACTTTGCTTCCAAAAAAAAAATTTATGTTAATTAAAAATCGAGTTGAAGATCATCGTGATAAGATTAGACAAATCTTAAAACGATCTTACGATCTCATGTTCTAGATAAGTTTCTCTTATCTGATCTAGTAGGTTATTTCTTTTATCAATACCTAAATCTAGGTCTTTGTATAATTTTCTCCAATAATTCAATATTTTAACAAATATTTTCATATTCAGTCCTGTTATTAGTATTGGTTTGAAGTACCATAATATCTTTTGTACCATAAAATAGCCTAATTTTCTCCTGGACTATTCATCCCATCATTGTTTATGAAGGATATAGTTTCTAATTTTGTTACCAAATTGTTTATTTGGTTTTTTGCTTCTTTATTTAAGTCACTATTTATTATTGAACCCAAATTGTCTATTTTAGATTCTATAGACTCAACTTTAGTTTCTAAATAATTTTGATTTATTTTTTTATTTTTATCTAATTTAGAAAACCAAGAACACATAATATCCATAATATTATTTAAACTAGAACACACGCTATTTATATTTGCAAACTCTTTAGTAATATGCAAACTAGGTCATATTTATTGTTAACATTATTTTTTGTATTTCCAAAGCATATTATATCGTCAAAATTAATTGCTATTATAGATTGTTGTTGGTACCTAAGACCCTCTTAGTGTATTATCCGGTGCCGAAAACCTCTCTTTATGATCTAAAAGACTTAATTATGGCTATAGTCAAAAGATCTTAATGAGTATATGGGCTTTGACATACACTAAGTATATAGGTTTTATAACAACTATAAATGAAACAAATAATTATAAAGATATAAAATACAAATGATACACAATTAAAGACTAAACTTGACGAAAATTATTTTTTTTATTTTTTTTTTTATAACATAAAGCAAACCATACACATTTATATATATCACAAATTTAGACTTAGAGAGAAATACTTACATAGTTTGTTCTTACTTTTTAAAAGCTCTTCACCAAGCTCTAATACCAATTGCAAAACAAAAAAAAAAGAAAATGAGCTTTTTACTATTTTTATTATGAAATTATGATGGAGTTATGGAGTACGGAATTATGATGGAGAAGTTAGAAACGAAATTAGAAGCACAAAGATGGAGAGAATTTATATTGTATATTCCATTAACTTTAAAGTCAATTTATAAACTACAATTTATATATACAAACAAAAAAAGTCATCAAGCCTAACCGTTGGCTTTTTTAATTTTTCAAAGGTTAGAAGAGAAAAAATCTAACATAATAAATACATTAGATATAAAAAGTCTAAGCAACAATAATGACAAGGACTTTGAAGTTCATAAAGCAGTTTCAATTTTTTCTTCCCTTGTTTTCTTCAGCAAATGTGCCTTTCATATTAGTTGTGTTACTGACATGTTGTTATTCCCTTGTTTTAAAGAAGATTTGAAAACCGTGGCAATGGGTACATCAAAGATCAACTACCATGATCCTAGGATCACAGTTGCTTGTTGCAAGCGACATGAAGTTCCAATTGAGAAGGTGAACATCTTTGCAAATACTTTCTCAGTTTTTGCCAGCAATTTCTTCTTTGTTGGAGAAGATATTTTGTACCCGTTTGTTTGTTGCTTATTATACTCTGCTATGCAGATTTTCAAAAAGTCTCTTCTGGCAAAGTTTGCTTGGGCAATGGATGTCATTCCCAGCTTCAGATTCTGAAGTCTTAGTTTAGCACAGGACACTTCTACCCTCCTCTACCCAGTACCCCGCTCTGCTCGTTATCTGTCTCACCTGAAAATATTCACAAATTTTATTTTATTTTTTTTAATTTAACTCTTCCAGCAGGGAGTTCATGTTGTATTCAGCATACCCTTTCACTCTCTGCTCGTTATCTGTCTCACTTGAAAATATTCACAAATTTTATTTTATTTTATTTTATTTTTAATTTAACTCTTCCAGCAGGGAGTTCATGTTGTATTCAGCATACCCATTCACTCTTTTTCCTCCCCCCTCCCATCTATTAATGGTGCTAACTGCTAAGAAGCTGTGACAAGAGTTGTCCACTGAGACTTTTTAGATGAAACAAATATGTATTACTAACATTTTCAGACATTTTGAACAGTGAAATCTCTTTGATTTTTCATTGTCTTATATTTTGAGGTTCTCTTCTTTTATATTGCCATTGTGAATTTGTGATGTGTTCGAATCATTTATGTGTTCGAATAATTTACAGGGTCAGTGGCACACCATGTGACATGGTTTCAGTTTTATATAATATTTCCTTGTAAAAAGCAATGAAATTCACTGTTGCCATTATTACTATTTATCGTTTAATGATAGCATGCATTTGTGCTGATATTGAAGAATCTTGGTTTATCTTTTGCTTATATTTGTATTTTGAGGATCTCTCGGTCTGTGGTCGAACCAGCTCGCTTGCTGGCCCGTTTCGTAAACAACATTTCCCTTTATTGTTATATATAAGCTTTCTAATTACCTAAAAAAAAACATATCTGCTTTTTGGGTTCTCAAAAAAATAAATAAAATGAATTGCGATAATTAGGAAAAGAAATTTAAATACAATAGTGATATTAAGTCAAAATAATGAGACACTAATTTAGAATCTCTCTAATGGTTGGTGTCAAAATGGTAACATCAAAGTTAAATTTTGATATGTTATAGTGTGAAAATATCATATTTAACAATATATTGTTCAAATGATTCAAATGTTCCACACAATAAAAAATATAGATATCATTTGTAGGTTTCAGCTTCTGATTGGGCACATGATCTTGTGTCCAAAACTATCCATTCTCCTATTCAATGCACTTCTGATTATTAGATGATATAATTTTAGAAAAATGATCCGGACCCCCTTTTCCTCCACCCCCTTTGACCCCCTCTCTTTTTGATTGGCCAATTTTTCTTTTTCTTTTTTTCTTTTTGTTAGGTTTTTATTCTTGGCAACCCCGTTTGACAAAACTCCTTTCAGATGTATTTTTTTTCGCACTTTTATTTCAGTGAGGCTATGGGTTTATTAGATGTGAATCCAAACCCGAATCGAACCATGCAGAGAAGTTTGTGATGTTAATGCTTTCAAGATTGCCACTTCGCTGATTATTACGGGGGTCGAGCTGACCGGTCAGCTCGAGGCCGAAGCAAAATGCAAAATTGCATTCAAAATTGCATGTCCGTCGTTGCTCGCTCGAGCCAAGGAATTCTCACTCGAGCTAGGGCTTGCTCGCTCGAGCCAAGGAATGCGCGCTCGAGCCAAGGATTGCGTCCATACAAAAACCTAAAAGAGTGTATTCCTCGCTCGAGCCAAGGATTCATCGCTCGAGCCAAGGCACTAGTAGAAATCATGAAAAATACACTACTCGCTCGAGCCAGAAAAGCTTCGCTCAAGCGAGCCTCAGAATCCAGATTTCTCAAGGAGTTTGTTTTCTTCCCAATCTAGGATCACTTTTGGTTCTCTATAAATACTTGGTTTTCTCCCAAAACTAAGTGATTGATTGAACTCCTCCAGATCTTCTTTTTGGTTCTTAAGGATTATTTCTGGAGATATTTTGTTAGTTTTCTTTGATGTTTTTATTGAGTATTCAACTCATGATTTAAAGAGAGTACATCAAAGGTTTGGTTTGTTATACACAAAAGAGAGAGTTGTTCTTCGGTGGAGTCTGAAGAATTCGAGCCTGAAGCTTCGGTGGATCCTGGAGTGGCTCTTTGGAAAGACAATTCTGAGGTGAAGATGGGGTTGGAAGAGGCACATAGAGGTTGGTTCAATTAGGCGTTGTGGATTCGCTAGGTAATTGAGAGTATACCCGTGTAATTCCTTTAAATCTTCTTAGTGGATTGTTCTTGTGGCTGTTGCCCATGGCTTTTTTTTATCACAGTTGGAGGTGTCCAATTGTGATTTTTTCCACGTTAAATAGTTGTGTCTCTTTGTCTTGATTGTTTGATTGGAATTGTTATATTCTGCTTAAAATTGATACATAATCACAAATCAACATCTAGGGGATTTCTAGTTTTTTTTCACTTTTTTTCTTTCTCCTCCAATCACCACCTGCCACATGTGTGTGGGGGTTGTGGGGGTGGTGATTAGAGGGGGTCTCAATCACATCCCATAATTTTATACTTGGGAATATTAAGACAGGCAAAAATTTAAGAATAGAGAAGATCTATGATTGGACAATAGCTTTTGCCAAATTTTATGTCAATTTTGACATTATTATAATTTGACATGAAAGATAACACTTTATTATATATGAGTTTAAAACAATTATCAAATTTTTTAATTTAACCAGAGGATGGCACAGTCGAGCAACAGTGTTTGGTGATTCAGGCTTTAAGGTTCGTTAAAAAAAAAAAAGGGCGTTAAGGTTGTGTTCGGTTTAATGATTTAAAAATAATGAGAGAAAAATGAATAAACTATAAGTTAAAATTTTCTTATTTTTTTTCATTCACAAAAATTATTTGATTCAACCACCCCGGCTTAAGATTATAGTTACATATTAAAATGTATTGCACACATTCAAGATACATAGAAAGCAAATAGATAGAAGATAGACAAGAAAGTCTTGATAATGATATTACACGACTAATACACTGTGGCACATGCTAACACCATGTTTTATTCCACATTAAAAACATACATACATTACATATTTATTTTATTTGCCCACACAAAACATGCATACGATTTACAAAGGTCATCTAATTCTTATTAGACGTAATTTCCGCCTCTTTTGTCTCATCAGCACCATGTCCAGGGTGACCACCATGTCCAGGGTGCCCATGTCCATATTCGTGTCCATGTTCGTGTCCATGGCCATGTTCGTAGCCATGGCCATGACCGCCAAACGTGGCATCTTCCACACTTTTCATTTGCATGTTTTCCTCTGCAAAAAAAAGTAAAAAATAAATAAATAAATAGTTATGTCATAATATGATCTTTTGAAAGAAGTATTATTACTTCCATTTTATCAAAAACACTATAATTTGTTCTTGCTATGCAATTTTTAAGTGTATAATTGATTAAAGTGTGAACAGTTTTATTATATATAATTTTGTCTACTAAAAACAAAAAAAATGGAGTGCATCTAGTAAAAAGAAGAGCGAATGAACAGGATGATAAAAATTAATGAATTTCTAATAAGATATTTTTACAATTAGACACAATAGGGTGTAGCTCATCAATAATTCTTTTGCCAATGAAATAGCAAGTCTCAAACTCAAGGCGCCACAGTTTTGCCCAATGTAGCTTGTAGGGATGTTGGCATACATCCCATATTTTATACTTCAAGGTTGACCTTGCCTTGAGGGGTTTCTTGTCATTTTAAAAAGAAAAATAGACATAAAAATAATTCGATCTCACATGTATTTATTATCATGAACTTAGAATCAAGAATTTTGTTTGGGAGGGGCCAATGTATATGTATAAAAAACTTTTGATACATTACTAATTGAATATAATTTCTTGCTAAAGAAGTATTTCACGAGAAAACTAAATAAATTTAAAAAATAATTTTTACAAATTTAAACTATTAGATTTTAGTATACAATCAGTTAAACCACTATTTTAAACGATTTTATTGATTGATAGAATCTAGTAAGTAAAAAGTGAAAATTGCTTAAGATTCTTGAAAAATACATAAATTCAATGGTGTTGAGTGTTACATATTAGTTGATATGTTTAGAAATCAATCAATTAAGACATGATATGTCATTGTAAATAAATTTAAAGGGTGAAGTTTTAGGTTCTTTAGTATTACTCATAAAAACATATACATACCATTTGATTTTTAAAATCAAAAACAATAAATAACATGTACCTCTTGTATTAATAAAATCAACTTAGATAAAATTGATACTATTATTTAAAATGCGATATAATTAAAGATCATTTCATTAGGCATTGTAAAATACTAATGAAATAAAAAGTTAGTAAAATAATTCTTATAAAATTAAAAAAAATATCCTATTATACATTTTACAAATGAATAATGCTATATGCACCAATTAATATACTAACTAATGTATCAATTGATGATGTGACATAATTTAAGATATTTTTGATATTTGTAATGTGATTAATGAGTGGAGTCAATAATAATATCATAATTAGTATTGGTACACCAGTTATTATACTAATTGGTGCATGTAGTACCACCGTTTACAAATACTCATTAATATAAAATTAATAATAAATTGTCAAAAATAAGAGGGGGATAGGGCCCTCCAACCCCTACATAGTTCTGTCAATACTTACCACCATCATGTCCAGGATGCCCACCATGGCCAGGGTGCCCGTGTCCATGATCATGTTCATGTTCATGATCATGTTCATGGCCATGCTCGTAGCCATAGCCGTGACCACCATACTTGGCTTCTTCCACACTTTTCAACTGCATATTTTTCTCTAGAAGTAGAGAAGAGGAGAAAAAAAAATAAAAATTAAAAAAAAAAATCATTATGTCATAATATGATACTTTGAAAGAAGTACTAATACAAGGTAATATAACAATTAGTAATGGGGGAGCTGTTGGTAATTCCATAAAAAACACTATAATTTGTTCTTATTATGCAATTTTAAGTGTATAATTGACAAAAGTATGAATGGCTATTTTGTCTACTAAAAACAAAAAATGGAGTGCATCTAGTAAAAAGGAGAGTGAATAAGCATGATAATAAAAATTAACGGAAATATTTGATAAGAAATGCCTCTATGGATATCATTATTGAAACAATTAATAAGATATATGTGTATATCTATACATGTTTGGCATGCAATGGAGAAAGTGAGGAACTCACGAGTTTCAGCTAGCTCTCTGGCTGAAACCTCAGAGGAGATGAGTAGAAGGACAGCCAACACAAGTCCAACAAGAAGAAACGTTTTGGAGTATGCCATTTCTACCCCTCACACAAACAAAAGGTACTCTGCAACACACTAATAAATAACAACTCACTTTGCTATTTAAAGGGATGATGAGAAGAGCTTCGCGACTCCCCCGTATTTATAGACCTGGAGAGAGAGAGGGGGTTTTTCACGTGATGCTACAATTTGATATTTATTGATTAAAAATGTAAAATTTAATATTTTTTTATTGATTTTTAAGAAATAATTTAATAAGAGTCAAGTGATAAATATGAAATAATATTCCAAAATCCCCCAAATAATTGCTCATTAAATTATCTCTTAAAATCCTGACAGAAAATATTAAGTCCCATAATTTTAACTAAAATAATCAAATTGGAAAACTTTCTCAAGATCACAGATAATTTTTCTATGGAAAAATGTTTTGGATCTTAAATAATTTATTAAATTTTTTATCAAACCTCTTATATGAGTGTCTGACTGACACAAACACACGTATATAGGTCTTATATTTATATAAGAAGTTTGATAAAAAATTTAATAAATTATTTAAAATTCCTAATATATTTCTTTTTTTATAAGTAATCATAAAGACAGAGTATCAATCGATGATTATGAATTATTTTTCGGAAGCGGCAAATTGTCTCAAACCGACATCATTTGTCTCCTTCTATCCGTTCATGTCCATCCTTTTCATGAATCAATTACATATGAATTCTTAATCTATTTATTTAAATTTTAATAAATATGTTATGTGTTATATATATGATCTGATTTTTTTTATAAATTTTTAATAAAATTCTAACAAAAGAAATGAAGTATTAACAAGATAATATTTTGAGTGTATTACTTGTTGAGGGTTGAAGTTTACGAAAGTAAAATGTAAATGAGTCATATTTTAAGGAGATTTATTATAATTTGTTATTTTGAAAAAAATAAAATGATAAAAAGATAACTATACAAAAAAAAAAAAAAAGGCAAAACAAAAAAAGCAAAGTTAAGGTTGGTTTGGTATTTTTGAAAAAAAGATAAAAAGTCAAAAAAAATACTTTAAAAAGACAAAAAATTATCATTTTTCACAAAAAAAAAAAATATAAAAAAATAAATTTACACATAAAAAGGTACAAGTCAAGAAAGTATTGAAGTGATTGGGCTGTCTACATTGATGGTACAACCAATCAGACAACCAATCAGACGGATGCACTTCTCATAATATATAGGACAATATTGTTCGACTTGTGGGGGTCATCACGAGTCCCGTTTTGATAATCTGAATCGTTCAATGTGTAGAAATTATCAAGTATTATATAAAAAAAAATATTATATATTTATATATCAAGTATATCAAGTATATATTTAAAAAAATAAATATATCAAGTATTATATATTTATAAAAAATCATATTGATCGGATATTGATAACTATATGATTAAATCAGTTTTATATAAAAAAATGGATGGTGAACAAATTAATGGTTGAAAAGAACTAATCGATTAAATAGCTACTGATATCCAATCAATGTGATTTTTTACAAGTATATAGTACTCAACGAGTTGTACACATTGAACGGTTTCAATTATCAAAACAATACCTGTGATGAACCCCCACAAGTCGAATAGCACCGTCAATAACATATGGTACAATCACTGTGAATACCATATTACATCTATGCTACTCCAATACATCTATGCTGCCCACCGTATTGGCTCAATGGTACGATTATTGTCCGTACCATATTACCATATTGAAAAATGCCTAACACCCCCAGTGGGGGTCACTGGGGGTCGCCCCTGATAGGCTGAAATTTTTTTTTTTTTTTTTTTGTAAAATGTAAATGAGTCATATTTTAAAGAGATTTAATGTAATTTGTTATTTTGGAAAAAGTAAAATAATAAAAAGATAATTATACCCAAAACAAAAAAAGCAAAAGTTCAAAGAGTCTCTTATGAGAGAATTTTTTTTTACTCTTCCTTTCTTATCTCTAAATAAAACTGGTAATGTCATTGTGTTTTTTTTTATTTTTTTATATATATAAATTGTTTTTTTACTCAAACCATATATATAAATTGTATACATAACAAACCACAATTCATTGAAATTGTTCAACTGTTTCGAAAGATCACGATATATGGTTTGAGTTTTTTCATTGAATTTTTTATTTTAATCTTAATTATTTTTGGTGATACAATTTTATACTTTACTCTAATTTTAACAGTTTTGACTTTCTTATCCTATAATTTATCTACTCTACCAGTGTTGTCCAAAGCCTTTTTTAAAAAAATTGGGTTCGGACAAATATAATCAGGTCACATAATTTTGCTATTCATGATGTGTACCTAGTTATAATGGGGTGGCACAAAAAAAATAAATAAATAAATGGGATAGACTATGTTTGCTTTTTAGATTTTTTTAATATAAAAATTAAAAATTAATTTGTTAAAAAAATGGAAAAATAAAAAAATTGTTATTTTTATATAATTTTATCTTTTGGGATGGTATAAATAATTTTAAAATATATTTTTAATATTTATTTTTATCAAATTAGTTTTTTTATTTTAAATTCTGAATATTGTTTGAGAAAAACAAATCAAACATACCCCTCCTCTTCCATTCAATCAAGAAAATGTTTAAGCGCATAAAAAAGTAAAAAATAGAATACCTAAAATTGTATATTTTTTATGTAATTCTTTTACGCACGTAGTACGATTGTTCAATCAAACAAATAAGTTAGATTAAATTCATCTATTTATTGAGAAATTATTTCATATTTTTAGAATAATATTTTATTTTATTTACATATGGATATTTAATACTTCTCATGTATAAAAATAATAAATTTTATAATTTAAATCAATAATTACTCATTGCTTCACCTATTGAATAATTTCTCCCATCTTGGCCATATATACAATTAATGCATGCATTATGGAATGTCCCATTTGGCTTTCAGCTTGGGGTGGTCTACAGTACCAACCACAATAATGAAGGTCAATTATTAGTAGTCCTCCAACATTATCTAGTATATTTATATAGTGTTCCAAATTAATTATGAGTGACATATATTGATTTATTTTTATTAGATAATTAATTAAAAATGATAATTCACTTAGCGTATTGTAATTTTTTATTGACTAAAAATATCTCGTATAAGTGATACGCCATAAATAGTTAATAATTTTGTTATAATAAGGAGTTTTGGTCTTGTTTGATATAGTTTTTGGTAGATTTAAAACTGATAATCAAAAAAATAAACTACAAATATCTCTTCTTTTATTTCTAAATAATTTTTAGAATTTATATAAGGTATTTATGTCTTACAAGAGCAACTCTAACACTACTCTTCCGCTGTGTTTAGTTTACGAATTTAGGTAGAGAATTGAAAAGAAAACGAAAAATATAAGTGAAATGTGAAAATATAATTACATTTCACACATCTTTTTTTCTTCTTCTTTTTTTTCAAATTCATGAACCAAAAATAACTTTCACTTTTCACTAACTAAAGTATAAAAAAATAAAAAAAAAATACTCTTTATTTTACCTAATCAGGTTCTCATCAAATCCGTTCATTTTGTAAGTCCTTACGTATAAATCGTTGGTGAATCCGATAAATCATATTATTTCTTTACATTTTGTCTTAAAAATATAAAAAAAAAAAAAAACGATTTATTTCTAAAAATATTCTTACCATCCATTTTAAAATATATATAATTATAATTATTAGATTAATTTAATTTTTTTAAATATACAATCTACAAATAAAAGGACTCATAAAATGAATAAAATAAATTATTAAAATCGGGCCTGTGGTGGTCCATGAACCCAACTGGGCAATGCAGTCCACAAAAGTGGACCGGAAAGAGGTCCAATGTCAGAAATGGACACAGAGGATGATGTCATGCGTGACGCAAAATGTAAGGTGTGTTTGATTTGTGTTTTGAGATACTCCCTCCGTCCCAAAATAATGGTCCCTTTTGGGGAATCCAACTTTTTTTGGTAGTACAATTATTGTACTTTTAAAAAGTTGGTTTTCCAAAATTACCCTTTGATAGTACACTTTTTTGAGAATATCAATGTCATAATTGTACTTTTTATATTATTTATGAATTTAAAAGAAGGGCAAAATGGGAAATTTATATTATTTTTGTACTTGATTTTTGAAGAGGAACTAATATTTTGGGACAATGAAAAATGGAATAAGGGACTAATATTATGGGACGGAGGGAGTAAATTTTTTTAAAAAAATTTACAGAGAAGTTTAGAAATTTTTTTGATTTGTTTAGTTGTATATTTTGAAAGTAGTTTTGGAATTTAGAAGTTTAGGATGATTTGGCATTTTATTGTAGTTGAGTAGATGTTTGTGAGAGAAAAAATGATTGAGAAAGAGAGAGGAGAGAGAAAAAGTGATTAATTGGTATGTAGGAGAGAGAAAGTGATTTTAGAAAAAAAATTCAAAAAATTTCTAACTAAACAAAATTTTAGAAATTTTTTTCAGAAATTATGTTTTGAAAGTTAAACCAAACGAGGCCGTAATATTTTTATTTTGGGAAGCTGCATTATTTGGATAACATTACATCTCACATAATTTACTCACAAAAAGACAAAAAATAAGTTTAAAAAGTCAAAAATTTAATTTTTTACCAACTTTTTAAAACACTGAAAATTTGAAAAAAGTAAAAAGTAAAAAAATAGTTTTTAGATGATAAAAGTATAAGATTTATTTGCATGATCTAATGCATAATCATTTGTACCTTTATCGTTTTAAAATTATTTTTATACTTTTTACTCTTTTATATATATATATATAGTGTTCTCATTAGGGAGCTATACTTTTGGTCAATTTTTTTTATTATTTTTTTTCTTCTCCCCCAATCACTAACTCCACGGGTGTGTTGGGGGTGAGGTTGGGGTGGAGGCTTGAGGAGGTTTCAATCACCTCTCTATATATATATATATATATTTCTCCTAATAAATATTTTGTTATTTTCATACAAAATTAGAAAAATTATTTCGTGGTTCAAGGATACTACGTGATCATGCCTTGACCAATTATAAAACAACATGTTCCTCGTTATTTTTTAATTATTCAATGCAAAATTATAGATCTCACTCTCTCTAT